TCTCAACGACAAGCTCCATTTAAACTGGGATTTGCAGTCTTGGCACATGAATAAGTAGATAAGTTATTTTTTTGGCCCCTTTAATAGAGAGGTCATATTTGGTGACCATAACTATTTCTAATGATCTTAAAAGCCAAGAATCCATCAAAGGACTATTAAATTAGAACATGACTTTGCTATTATTTAACAAGCAAAACACAAGACTATTGTGGACAAGTTCCAAGTGTCTGTTACAAGAAGATGGATGGTCTGAGCATCCTGCTGGTGACAGCGCTCAGCATTAGCAATATCATCCAGGCATCCCGCCCTCATGGGAATTACCCAGCGACTCACTGCTACACTTTAAAAGCTGCAATTCTTGCATTGGGGCTTTTTGTTTATCTGCTATCGGATTTTAAAGCATTAATTCTGGAGTAGAAAGGGTATAAGAGATTCAGTGCATCACCAAACTATAATAGCGTCATGCAATTTGCTATCCAAAGCACAACATCTATTTGCTCTGTTTAACTGGGCAAAATGATAGAGCTAAGCACGTTTGGCTTGCCTGTCAGAAAAGAAAGAGTTAGCTCGGCAAGTAGAACTGGCCAAGGAAACACTTCGGTTGTGTATGGAGCAGAATGGAAGCTCTCCAGGAGCCTCAGTTAATCCTGTTGCTATTGCCGAACAATATTGAAGTAGTGCAAATTTCAAAATGCTGTGTCACATGGATGTTTATTCATTCTACAGACCAAGCAAGAGTATGCAGGGTGGGCTGACTGAAGCAGCATGCCAGAAAGTGGTACAGTCAACGAAAAATGCAATTTTACGGCAAATACGTTTGCAAACTGAAATCAAATCCCAGGCATAGTGTTACCCAAAAGAAATACAGGAAATATTTGGAAAAATTCAAAGGGTTTATATTTATATTTTCAAAACAAAATATTTTACTTCTTTGTAACTGTAGTTTATGCAGTCTGCTTTTAAATGGACAAAAAAATCTTAAAAAGAAAGCGAGAAAATGCATGTGAAAGTGTGTAAAAAGCGAGAAAGAAAGATCTGTAAGTGTAATTAGTCTGAAAAAATGTATTTCAGTCTAGAAACATTTCCACTTCTTACCTTTTGCTCAGCAAACATGTTTTTTTTCAACCTTGGATGAACCAGAAAAAACATCTTGAATTTCTGCTGTGGTCAGTGACCTTCCTAGCCCTCTCCTCTCACACCAAACCATTATCAGAGCAACTCTTGACATTATCTACACCTGACAAGAGTTCTATCAACAGCCTTCACAATGCTCATCCAAGCAGTGTCTCATATAATGTTTTAAGAGCCACTGTGCCATTAACCACAAGGAAAACAGACCCCGAGTTTCAGTCAATTGGCATTTGTCACTTTGCACCAGCCTTGGATGTGGCACAAGGGCAGCACGCTGTGTGAAAAACACCACATCGTACACTGGCTTCTCTAACAGCATCTTATGCGAAATAAAGATTACAAAAATAACAGCAATTTACTTACTGCTCATCACAAAAAACATTTCTGTACAGCTGCAAACACTTAATTGCATATATTTTCATCATGCAAATAATACTCAAAGCCTGATCTGTATCTAGAGTTCAACATCTTCACGTAATTTCAGAACGGTTTTTCATATAACTTAAGTGTTAGCTTTTCTTTTTTTTTTAGTGCAGTGGTTTTATAGCGATGCTCTGTCAGAAATAAAAGATGATTTGCAATGTATGCTAGCAAAAGAAAAAAAGAACCAGGCTGTTTCTGAAATGTACTAAACATCTTTGCCAAATTCCTGCGAGTACCATGACATATCCACAGGCTTTCTATATTCTTAACGCAGACTTGCACAATTCAACCTACATTCCACAGCTTTTCTTTACGAGAGATATGATTTAGGTTTCTCTGGTATTAGTTTAGTCTGAAACTCAACTGAGAGCTGTCCAGAATTCCTACAACTTCTGCTGCAGAGAAATGAACTGTTAATTTGCAACCCTTCTTACCAAATTAGCAGGAGATAAGGTCAAAGGATCCAGATAATAAGAGAACTGCATCAATTACAAAGGGACGCAAAGGTAAGAGTGCTTACAGGGGCAGAATGGATGCTGACTTTTATCAGTTAATGGTAACAAATTTATCACCAGATGCCAGCCTATGCTGTTAGAAGAGCCTCATTAAGTGTTTTGCAGCTCTCAGGGGCAAAGTGTAATGAGAGTTAGAGAACCTTCCCTTTTACTTGCAGGGGGCAATGAATTTGTTCAAGTGAAGCTCACTCCACCACCTCGGATCTTCAAGATTCAGCCAGGAAATCTTAGGATACTGGGAGACCTCAGGCCACCCTGCCCACCTGGCACTGAGCGGAGCTGCAAGGGGAAGAAGTTAATCCCCTTGTTCCCTTGCATAAGCAAGACCAAACCAGAGCAAGGTCTACTTTAACAGTCCTGCGAGCAGGTTCAACGTATTTGTTGGGTTGAAGGCCCAGACAACGAAGTCCTAAATTTTATGACAAACTGAAGATGGAAGAAAACTTAGGATAAAAGCACTTTGCTTTGTGTGGGGAGTATTACTCAAAAATGCAAGTGGCAAAAGGAAGTATTTTTTCCTCCCCAAACCTACTTCAGAAAGATGTTTCTGATGGTGAAGAAAAGCCCTTCCTTAATCTCCGTTGTCTCTGTCTCATTAACAGGGCACAGAATCTCCAAACATGGGTTTAAGTGCGCGTGCCTGTAGCACTTTACACCATTTCCCCACAATCCACACAATGCTCATGGTACTTGTTGACAAAATCACTAACCACCAGACCAAGGTTGTAGGGCTCTTGGGAATCCTCTGCGGCAGAAACTCCATCCCTTATCACGCTTCCTATTTCCACTCTGAATTTCACTATTAACCTTTGGGAGGGGGGTTGGGGCAGGCAAAGCTGTTCAGTGTTGCTGCACCAATTCTGCTACTGTTTCTTTGTTTCCTCTTGCGCAAAAAATGTATTTTTCTTGTGAGTAGGATCCTGGGATTAAGGTAACCGTTCTGTAAACATATCCATTATGCCATTTAGGAGTCCAACCTCTGCATTCTCTTACCGAAGCAAATCTCTTGGTTTTGAATTGTATAAAGGGCATCATTTAACTAATGATTAGTTAATCCTAAAGGAGGAGAGGGGGGTCTGGTCTAAGGCGAAAGCACAGCCTGGTACCTGATCATTATATGTTAGGCAAACCATGGTCTCACAGAGCTTTACAACATTCAATAAATTAACCTTACAGCATGTAGTAATGAAGCTGTACTCCACGCTTGTGGCTGGGGAAACAGCCTCCAAGAGCCAAATTTATTGTCTCAGTTACATCTCTGCAACTCTGCAGACTTCCACATTGTGTGCAGATAAAGGCAGACTGGAGCTGACAAAGATAACTTGATTTTCCAAGGTTATGGGACAGTCAATAAATGAGCCAGCACTGAAAACCAGGATCCTGGTGCTCTTATCACTAGAATAAATACTAATTATGACAATTAAGTACTTAATAAAGATGTATTATGGTAATATTTTTAGGTCATTAAAAGTCATAATCATGTGTTCTTAGGTGGCAGCTAAATCACTCACTAAAAGGCAAGGTTCATATTATTTCAGAGATGCAAAATGACAGAATAGTTTTCCAAGTGAAAATCCACAGACAAGGAGAAAGCAGGTCAGCAAATTTTCATGTTATACTTCACACTGCTAATTACCGATAATAGGAGTTCATCTCCCCTTGAACTTATTTACCCTGGAAACTGTCAGATAGCAGGATCTGGAGTTTTTCACTCAAGTAAATCCTTGAAACAATTCCACATTCTCCTAATTTATATTACAAATCCTACATTTCAGCTAAAACTGCTTCACTTTTGACTGCATTGACATAAGAAGATGAGATCAAAGATGGGCAGAAATGAGTGAATTTCCTCTTTCATGAGCTTGCTCTGAAAATCTCTGCCAGCAAACAAACTGAACCGCCAGCTTTTTTATGTCTTTACTCAATTTCAGCTTCCATGAACACTCCCTCTGATCCTGAGAATTAACTTTCCTTCTGTTTTCTCCCACTACCACATAAAAATGCATATATTGCAGTACTAAATTCACAGGGGTAATTAATGAGGAAGTTCTTGCTGACACTTGGCTCAAAAGGAGCAAAACCTGGTTGGTTGGCTTTCCACAAAATCTCAAGAGGTTACTATTCCCTCCCGATCCTCAGCTAGAATTCTAATTAATTAAGAGTAAGTTTAGAAAAAACCAAAAAATCCTCAAATTTTAATTGCATACACATTTTGCAGGTACACTAAAATCAAGCAAATGCAAGCAGGCAAATGTGGATCCCACTTTGAATATTAGTGATATTAAAGAGGATTTCAAGCTGAGGGTTTTCCATCTGTGAAAGTTATGATCTGATAGACGTATCACAAAGAATTGGTCCGAAGACATAACCAAACTCCATGCTATGCAATGTGGCAGGAGCTAACTGCTGAGGACAGAAATTACACTCAGGTTTTGCAAGGCACACCAGCACGTGTTGTAACACGAGGCAGCCAAGCAGTCCCACAAACCAATGAGACTACTCACCTACAGGCAAGCATTTTGCTATCATCTAACTAAGCCTGTTCACAAAGCAACCTTTCATTAGCAATCCCATCGTGCTGGGACAAGTGCTGTGCCCACAGCAAGCCCATATAGGCTTTGATAATAGTAAAATGAAGCCTAAAATCTTGCTCACTTCAATTGCACAGCATGTTTAGCGGATGCCTGTTTTCCTCCCCCAGCACTGCAGGTAAAATTTATAAGGCAGAGGAGCGTTTCATGGAGGTTAGGCTCCCTATTTCACTGTTGCCCTTTTAAAGTTCTCATCATTCCATTTTTTCTAGTATAGCCTGTTGACTGTCATCTATCCCATGTCCCCTCCGCTTATGCTTGTAAGTGGATACTTACACATGAAGTAGGCAGTACTTAACAATTTCTCTGCTAATACAAGCAGTGAAGAAATCCCACTTACTTCCACTCATAAGCAGATGCTGTTCCTCTTCCTTCAGCCTGTTCTGCATAAGACGTAGCATGTTTGCTGCTTCCTGTAAGAGGTGAAAAGAACTGAATTAGAAAAGCTGCCACATGGCCCAGTCAAGTAGCTAACAGGATGGTCTCAAAACAACAGTTAAGGGCACTCACAGGTAGAATGAGAATAGAAAATTTCAGCATTGAAAATTTTTTATGAAAAAAAGGTCTTAATTGAAAGATGGGAGCTCCCACTTATTTTGCCCATGAGGGTCAGGATATAAAGCATATAACCAGGTAAAACAGCACACTGAAAATCAACCATACATTCCCACCAGCTGAAACCTCACTTATCACATTGAAAATGAGTTCGTTCGTCTTCATCCCACAGAAAATTACTGCTGTTACAGAATAGAAGTGGATTTCTTTGGAAAGCAGTCTTTGGTAGTTGTTTTCAACCAATACTTCATTAAACACTAAAAGTGGTTTGTGAAATGACTGCAGCTTCCTAACACACAAACCAAACTAGAAGAGTTTCATACATTTCCACGCATGCCAACGAAATGGGAGGAAAAAGCCCTATCAATAAGCTGGAAAAGTACAGCCATATGTTACTATACTATCCAGGTGCAAAGGAAAACTATATGACAGTAAGACTGCACCAAGGCGGTTTGTTGATTTTCTTTTTTGAATATAGCAGGTTGTTAGACGAAAATATGCTGAGAAAAACTACTGTAATAATGGTGTGATGAAATGATGACAAACGCAGTTCAGAGCAAATGGAAAAAGGTAGGTAGAACAGCGGTTGCTGTCCTGAGGAAGAGAAACAAATCACAAGTCTCAACCCATTCAAATGAAGGCCTATGATAACAGAAAATGTTACAAAAACACCCACAAGGACTTGTAAAAAACAAGTTTTGCACAGTCATCCGAGTAAGAAATGTGACAGCCCGGAAGGGAAGCAGCAAGCCGACGGTAGTGGGGCAGTGGCAGTTAAGACAGACATTCTCATTCCAGCGTAATGGATTAATAAGAAAACATGGCTGGCTCTGTTGACAGTAACTGATGAGAGTAATTTTAATCTTCTAGGATGCCTGCACTTGCAGAACATCACAGACCAGGTAGACTAGAGGCACTATTTGATTGCTGAACACATGAAGCAATTGTAGGAGGTGTTTCGCTGGGTTCATGAAGTTCTCCACCCAGTTAGGACTAAAATTGAGCGAAGATACGAAGGGACTGAATTTTAGGAACTAAGCAAAGATACCAAGGGGCTGAATTTTAGGAACTAAGGTTCACTATTCCAATAGCAGCATCAGACAGAAAAAATATCTTTTTAATGACATCTAGTTTAAATTTGGGTAATGTTAATAGTGAATTAGAAACTAAGCATGGTAGAGTAGGTAAGATACGAATGCATACAATCGGATGCAGATAGAACCTACAATACTAAACAGGTGGCAAACAACTGATGGAAAGATGTAGCCACAAATTTTGCTAATTTTAGTCTCTTCAGTTTCAGTTAAGCAAGACAAGTAGATGGGAAAGCCAATTAACTGTGGATTGAACTAAGATTTTTCTGAGTCTTTGATTTTTCTATACAAAATATGCTTATAATTAAAAACACCAGTTACTTTGACATGGTCAAATCTGCACACTTACAGTGCATTTGTGGAAAGGAAACACAGAGTCAGTTGGAATATCCATGGGACAGAGGGAAGAAAGTAAGAAGAGCATCTGAAAATGGCTGAACGCTGGCCAACCTTTTTATACTTTCAGGTGGAAACGTGTATCCATATGTATGGCAACAGCGCGCTAGCTGAGAAAGGAAAATCTCCTTCCATGAACTCCTAAGTAGCAGCGAACCACCAAGTCCCACCTAGCACACAAGGAAGTTACTGGCAACAGACACCTGGGGACTGGCTGGCATAATGCATCACAACTTGGCATCAACATCTACGTCTTTTTTGGGGGTTTTGGGGTTTTTTTTTGTATGCCGACAACACCGAGCTGTGTGGTGTGG